GCTGCCTCCGCGGGGCGCTGCGCCCGGATCGGGTGCGCGTGAGGCGGTGACGCACGGAGGAGTCTTCTCTCCGCCGGGGGTTTCCCTGCGAAGGGGCTGGATTCCAACCCTTGGAGTCATTTTGGAAAGCCCCCCATGCGAGAGGGGTGAATTGTCAGATCCCCTTCCTCCAGTTAGATGAGGGAAACACTAGGGGTTACCCAGTTGATCCAATGACTCCGGAAAACACAACATGATAAACAGGTGGAAAATCACTGTCTGAAGCAGTGGTTCTCAACCTTCCTAATGCCGCGACCCTTTAATACGGTTCCTCATGTTGTGGTGACCCCCAACCATAAAATTATTTTCGTTGCTACTTCATAACTGTAATTTTGCTACTGTTATGAATCGTCATGTAAATATCTGATATGCAGGATGTATTTTCATTGTTAAAATTGAACATAATTAAAGCATAGTGATTAATCACAAAAACAGTATGTAATTATATGTGTTTTCCGATGGTCTTAGGCGACCCCTGTGAAAGGGTCGTTGGAGCCCCAAAGGGGTGGCGACCCACAGGTTGAGAACCACTGCTCTAGGGGTTACCCAGTTGATTGAGTGACTCCGGAAAAAACAAAATGATAAACAGGTGGAAAATCACTGTCTAAAGTCTGTGGTTGAAATGATAGGGAACATTGGCGGTAGCATCCCTTGGTGATACCCTTTTCTGTGTCAGACCTGGTAGGAGTGGATGGAGCTCTGCCAGGAGGCCTTCCCGCAAGCCCCCGCCCTGACGGCCCTGGCAGGTCACCGAGTGGGCCCAAGAGTAGAGATTGCTCCCTGTTCTTGGCAATCACCTTCCAGCTTGTGGAACAGCCAAGGCTCTTCTCTAACCAACCTTTTCACTGTTTAACAAGGATGCCATTTGTCATAGAAAAAAATGCCACTGTATACTTTGAGGACAATGTTCATAAGTATCTAAATCAGGGGTCCTCAAACTACGGCCCGCGGGCCACATGCAAATACAAATATTGTATTTGTTCCCGTTTTGTTTTTTTACTTCAAAATAAGATATGTGCAGTGTGCATAGGAATTTGTTCATAGTTTTTTTTTAAACTATAGTCCGGCCCTCCAACGGTCTGAGGGACAGTGAACTGGCCCCCTGTTTAAAAAGTTTGAGGACCCCTGATTTAAATGAACTCATGAGTTTATAATGAAAATGTTTTTAAACACTTTACGTATTTAATTACTTTGGGCTGACTTATGCTACCTTTCTCCTTAACATGTACAATTTCTACTTTACTTTCTTCACTTGTAAAATCGGTTAAATGAATTTAAAACCCTGATCGGTAGTGAAACTTATTTTGTGAAAAAAGACTTGCACTAAAAAGGTAGAATTTTTACGGCCTAAAAATGTTGGGAACAAAATAGTAAGTCCAGATAAACCTTGAAGGAAACTAAGCCAGCAGTGCAGTGTCCTTGGGGCTGGGAGTTGGAGGGATTCGGGTATTAATGTTGGCACTGCCCCATCTCTGTCACCTCCATGGGCTTTCCACCCCTGCAGACCTTAGGTGCTTCATCTGTAAAACAAGTTCTGATTAAATGATCTTTAAAGTACTTTCCAGCTTTAAAGTTCAGTTTCCTACTATATCAGTGTTTCTCAGGAAATAGTGGGCATACCTTCTCAGGATTAAGTAAGTTTAGGGATAGAAAATCATAATGAGAAGGGGTTATGTGCTAGTCTGTACAAAATGATAAATTCTTGTATCCAAAATCAACATATTTTAAATGGAGCATGCTTAAGTATTGCTCAGGAAACATAGATCTAGTTTTTATGTCCATTGTTGTGTTTATTTTCTTAAGAGGAAGAATGACTTAGTTTAGAGACAAAAAATTGAGAAGAAATTTCCCAATATCTAAGCATGAATCCCAAGCAAGTAGATAATAATACTTTAACATATAGCTGGTACATTATAGTTTATGAAACCTTTCACTTTCTTTCTCTCTTTTAAAAAAATATATTTTTTATTGATTTCAGAGAGGAAAAGAGAGGCAGAGATAGAAACATCAATGATGAGAGAACCATTGATCAGCTGCCTCCTGCACATACACCCCCCTCCCTCCCACCACTGGAGATCAAGCCCACAACCTGGGCACGTGCCCTGATCTGGAATCCAACTCCAACCTCCTGATTCTTAGGTCCATGCTCAACCAATGAGCCACTCTGGCAGGGCTCTTTCTCTTTCTAGAAATTCCATGGAAATCATGGAGAATGGCTCCAAGCATCTGCTATGTGTGGGTATCAGCAATTCTCCTTCCTGTACTCTTCCTCTCAGGGACTCCCTCTCTTCTCAGCCTTTAAATTTGCAGCAAAGAGATTCCACAGAGGCCACAGCCCTCACAGAAACTAGATCTAGGGTCCCCTAGGTTAGGTGTCAGAACTTCTCCCACCAAAGCTGGGGATTCCGAAGATGTTAGACACCCCCAGTTGTGACATCAACCCCTCTCCAAACCTCCCTGCTCCTTTCACCTTCCCCAAGCAGAGTTCATCTCCCATGCTCTAGGATTCTTTTCTTGAAGATATTTTTGTCTTTGCAGATATCTTGTTGCCTTGAAATAACTTGTTTATGTGTTCTGCCACCCTACTAGACTGCAAGCTCCTTATGAATCTGAGTCCTACTCATCTTTGAATTTCTGGAACCTGGAACATAGTAGGTGCTCAATAGATGATGAAGTAATGAATTTAAGATGCTTCAGTGCTGTTAAGAGAACAAAAAGGAAGCTCCTGAAGATTGTGAGGCCTTTCTACATGTCCTTGTGAGGCTGGCCCTTAAAACCTCAGGGGCAGTAGCAACTCCTTCTCTTCATACCTGTTATTTATAACACCTACCACCGCTTACGTGGTAAAGGGACAGCATTATGAAGCATTGCTGCATGAATTTTGGCCCCTGTGTCGTGGAAGGATCTGAATGTTAAATATCATCTATATTAGTTTCCTGTGGCTGCTATAACACATTTAGTGGCTTAAAAACAACACAAACTTATTGTCTTACAATTTTGGAGGCCAGAAGTCAGAAATGATTCTTATGGGGCTAAAATCAAGGCTATTGGCAGCACTTCGTTGCTTTTGGAGACGGTAGAGGAGAATCTGTTTTCTTGCCTTTTCCAGCTTAGAGGCTGCCATGTACCTTGGTTTGTGGCTCCCAGACAGCAATTGCACCACCCTCACATCTGCTTTAGTCATCCTGTCTCTGACTCTCTCCTGTCTTCCTCCTCCACTTTTAATGACTACTGTGATTGGTTGGGATCCCTGGGTAATTCTAAATATCTCATCTCAAAATCATTATATTAATCCTTATGTTCTGGGTTCTGGTGTTTAGGATAGGGACATCTTTTGGGGGCCATTATTTTTCCTACCACACCACAGATGTTCTCTTTAGCAATTTCAAGCCCAAACAAACAATGAACAGGTATGATCCTGAACAATTCAGTACTAGAACACACATCTGAGCTCTAATTTTCCCTTTGCTGGACACAGGGATGGCAGTGAGAAACAACCATTAGGAACCAAATGAGAGTAACCTCAAAGAGGATGGCTCTAGTCTGGCTGCCGTGGCTCAGTGGTTGAGCATGGACTTACGAACCAGGAAGCCACAGTTCGATTCCCGGTGAGGGGTCAGAGCACATACCTGGGTTGCTCTCCAGTGGGGGCGTGCAGGAGGCAGCTGATCAATGATTCTCTCTCATTATTGATGTTTCTGTCTCTCTCTCCCTCTCCTTTCCTTTCTGAAATCAATTGAAAAAAAAAAAAGAGGCTGGATCTGAATGGAATCTCAGCTCTGACACAGTAGTGTCATTTACTTAACTGCACTAAGGGTTTTTCCTCGTGTATAAAATGGATTATGTTACCTTCTCCCTCTTGGGATCATGGTGAGGATCAAGTGAGATAGTGTATGTAAAGCTTCCAGCACAGGAATAGGAACCCAAGGGCTGTTGTTACCACCAGTGCAGAGTGAATGAAGGTGAGAGCATGCTTTTACTCTTACAGGCAACAGTCGTGTAGCATCCCAAGCCTCATTGTATTGATTTGTAAGACTCAGCTAAAGTTAGTTTACTCAAGAGTCCTTAGAAAATTGGACAAGTGAACACCTCCTAATGCATATTCTCCCGAGAAACGATCTTGAGTTCTGTGGCATGTAAAAGTTCAAGATCATTTTTTCAGGTGCTATCTAAAACAATGCATTTGGAAGGTTATGCAGAAAAATTCTGTTTGAGCCCCACTCCTTGTCAAGACACATCACTCTCAGCTCCCACAGCCACTTCCTGACAAAGACAAATGTAAGCATGAAGACAGTCACAACTTCAAAATGTACCTTTCTACCCACGTGCCTCCTTTATTCTGACACATCCCTCCTACCCCACGCCCGAGCTAGAAGACTGGTAAGGAGTCACATCATGTACTTTTCTAAATTCAAATTTGAGCTTATAACTAGGAAATAAATGTAATGGGCCCTGGCTGGGTAGCTCCGTTGGTTAGAGTGTCCTCCCTATGCACCAAGGTTTTGGGTAAGATCCCCAGTCAGGGCACGTACAAGAAGCAACCACAAATTAATGTTTCACACTCTCTCTCTCTTTCTCTCTCTCTCTCTCTCTCTCTCTCTCTCTCGTTTTTTCTCTCTCTCTAGAATAATAAATATAAAAAAAGACCAGTCAGGGCACGTACAAGAAGCAACCACAAATTAATGTTTCACACTCTCTCTCTCTTTCTCTCTCTCTCTCTCTCTCTCTCTCTCTCTCGATTCTTCTCTCTCTCTAGAATAATAATAATAAAAAAAGACCTCTCTAATAAAAAGAAAGAAATGTAATGGGAGGTGTGTTGAAGTCTAATTCTGTGACTCATTCTCTGAGCCACAAAACTCATTTTGGGTTTTACATGTCTCATCTCTAATGCTTTTTAATTTAGGAATATGCCTCACAATAAAGGAATTTAGCAGTCTGTGTCACGTGAAGAGGTAATGAGCTAGAGGATAGCAGCAGTGACATGGAGTAAATAGTGAAATGTAGTTTAAATAGTTTCAAATTCTATATTTATAAATACCTGTTTCAGTTCATTAGCTCACAGACACATTTATCAGATCCACTATCAGTTACTTGTGATATTAATTCAATCATGATAATAAGTAGCAGCTGGTTACCTAAATTATACAAACCATATACAAAAACAGCATCTGAGAAAAGCAACCTCCTAGTAATTTATTTAAGGTGGAAATACTTTGTTTAGTGTGCTTTATTACAAAAGATGTAGGGTTTTAAATCATAGACAGAAATTATACAAACATGGAAAATGTAACGTGAAAACTATGTATTAACAGACATGAATAAGAGAAGGCCAGTCAAGATTTTTCAAATGTGTATTTTTAATAATAGCTATATTGAGATATTATTCACATACCATGAAAGTCACCCCTTTAAAGTGTACCATTCAATATTTTTAGGATATTCACAATTATGCAACCATTACCAATTTTAGAATATTTTATCACTCCCAAAAGAACATCCCATATCCATCAGCATTCACTCCACATTCCTCCTTCCCTTCAAGGGTTATATCCTCTTGTTGGATTGATCCCTTTAGTATTATGTAGTGACCTTTGTTGTCTCTTGTGATGGCCTTCATTTTGAAGTTTATTTTGTCGGATATGAGTATTGCTACTCCAGCTTTTTTTCTTTTCCATTTGCATGGAAATTTTTTTTCCATCCCTTCACTCTCATTCTGTGCGTGTCTTTTGTTTTGAGGTGGGTCTCTTGTAGACAGCATATAGTTGGGCCATGTTTTTGTATCCATTCAGCTACCTTATGCCTTTTGATTGGAGCATTTAATCCATTTACATTTAAGGTTATCAATGATAGGTACTTATTTATTGCCATTTTAATTCTGTATGCCTAGGTTTCTCTCTGTTTCTTCTTATTACAGCAGTCCCTTTAGCATTTCTTGTAATGCTGGCTTGGTGGTGATGTACTCCTTTAGCCATTTTTTGTCTGGGAAGCTCTTTATTTGACCGTCTATTTTGAATAATGATAGCCCTGGATAGTAATCTTGGTTTCAGATCCTTAATTTCAGATCCTTGAGTACTTCATGCCATTCCCTTCTGGTCTGTAGAGTTTCTGATGAGAAATCAGATGTCAACCTTATGGGAACTCCTTTGTAGGTGACAGTTTGCTTTTCTCTTGCTGCCTTTAATATTCTCTCTTTGTCCTTACTTTTTGGCGTTTTAATTATGATGTGTCTGGGCATGGGCCTGTTTGGATTCTTCTTGTTTGGGGTTCTCTGTGCCTCCTGAACTTGTTTGACTTTTTTCTTTACCAGTTAGGGAAGTTTTCTGCCATTTTTTCTTTAAACACGTTGTCTATCCCTCTCTCCCTTCCTGCCTCTTCTGGTACATCTGCTATTCTAATATTGTTTCACATTGTCCCATAGCTCCCTTAAGCTGTCCTCCTGTTTTTTCATTGTTTTTTCTTTTTGGTTCTCTGATTGAGTGATTTTTTCAACCCTGTCTTCTAATTCACTGATTCGATCCTCAGCTTCCCCTAATCTGCTGTGTATTCCTTCCAATGTGTTCTTTATTTGTACTACTAGGGGCCTGGTGCACGAAATTCATGCACAGGGGTGGGGAGGCAGATCCCTCAGCCCGACCTGCACCCTCTGTCATGTTCCGGGACCCTGGCCACTCCGGGCCAGGCGCAGGCCTACAGGCTTGGGGCGGCCTGGCTCCTGAGGCCCCATTTTATCAAGAGAACAAAGTCGGCGTTAGTTACAGCCCTCACCGAACCCAGTACAGTGCGTCTGTGCATACAACTGCCTCGTTCATGTGCCTGCTTCGCCCTACTGAATTACTAACATCTTGAGGACACAGCTCTGTCTTATCCTGTTTCACCTTCAGTGCCTGGCCTGGTGCCAGGGACCTGGGAGTGTTTGCTGACCGAGTGAGTGAGTGAGTGAATAAATGAGTGAGTGAGTAAGTGAATGAGTGAATGAATGTGCGAGTAAGTGAATGAGCAAGCGGCTATGGGGCGGGAACTTCTGCTGCGTTGCCATGGCGATGCGGCAGAAGTTCCCGCCCCGCTCCCGGCTGCCTGGCACCCGCCCCGGGAAGTTCCTGCCCTGCTCCTGACTGCCCAGCGCCCCACTCCCGGCTGCGTAGTTCCCGCCCTGCTCCCAGCTGCCTGGCGCCTGCCCCGGGAAGTTCCCGCTCCCGGCTGCGTAGTTTCCACCCCACTACCGGCGACCCAGGCCCCCAGGCACTCCTTCAGCGGAGGCCAGGGCAGGCGGGAAACTTGGCTTCCTCTGTCGGTCACCGGGGGCAACCCAAGCCTTCAGCTCCGTGGCCACCGCCATCTGTGTTAGGTTAATTTGCATATCATGCCGATTGGCTGGTGGGCATGGCTTGAGCGTAGCAGAGGGACTGCTAATTTGCATGTTTCTCTTTTATTATATAGGATGTCGTTCTTTATTTCCAACTGTTGTTTTTTCATAGTTACTATATCTTTATTTATGCAGTTGAGCATTTTTACCATTATTACTCTGAACTCTGTTATCTCTGCTTCATTTATTTTTTCTGCTGGAGAAATCTCTTGTTCTTTCATTTGGGGTTTGTTTCTTTGTCTCCTCATTTTGGCTGTCTGTTTGGGTTTGTGACTATGTATTAGGTAGATCCTCTATGTCTCTCAATCTCAAGTAGAGGATAGTGTCAAATGCTGTTTCTAATTAGATCAGGCAAAGACTCACAGCCTCCGGAGACCGCCTCTGCTTACAGATTGATAGGATTCTGACTTGAATTGCCCCCAGGAAATTGTCCTCAGTTGTGGCCAGAGTTTTTTTAAAACAGGATGGGGCAGTTGCTTCTGCCTGGAGGCTAATTGTTATTTTTAGTCTCTTAAGTAGCCTCAAGGCAAGGTGTTTTACAATAGTGTTGGTCAACTGTCTTCCCCTTGAGGGAAGTGTGGGAAAGATGTCTGTGTGGGAAAGATGACCTTCTCAGTGTGAGGGAATGACTCAGCACAGGAAAGTGGGAGTGTCTGCCTTCTGAGCTCTAACTCCTGAGTCCCAATCTTGGCTTCTGCTCACACAGTTGCAATCCACTCCATCCTCCCTCTGCCAGAGCACAAGGTGGGTGGCTCCACAGGGAATTTTGTGTGTTGGCCCTTTAAGAGGATACCTGAATTTCCAGCCTTTGTTCTCTGGCAGACAGCACTCCTGCTGCTTTTTACAGCCATGTGTTATGTGGGTACTCTTCTCAGTTGTGGTGCTCTCTGCTGGGGGGGGGGGGGGCCCAGCTTGGGTATTAGACCCCAGAGTTTTCAGTGGCCACCCCCCACAGCTGAGATATCTTCCTGGAACTTCAGTTGCTGTCTGTGGGTGCCTGGCCAGGCCTTTTGTGCCTCCGCCTCTCCTACCAGTCTCTATTCGGCTTCCACTTTCGTTTCTTGGGTATCAGGGTACTCTCCTGCAAGTGTTCTGTTGATTATTCAGGAAATTTTTCTGTATTTTAGTTGTAATTCCAGTTTGTTTCTGGGAGTGCGTGCGTGCAGCATCCACTTACTCTGCCGCCATTTTTAATCTCCATTTTCTTTTTTGATTTGCCAAAACTAGTCTTAGTAGTACGCGTTTTTTACCTTGTGAATGTTACAACTAAGATTTGATTTAAAAAATATATATATTTTTATTGATTTCAGAGAGGAAGGGAGAGGGGAGAGAGAGAGAGATAGAAACATCAATGATGAGAGAGAATCATTGATCGGCTGCCTCCTACACACCCTCTCCTGGGGATTGAGCCAGCAACCCGGGCATGTGCGCTTGACCAGATTCAAACCCATGATTCTTCAGTCCACAGACCAATGCTCTGTCCACTGAGCCAAACCTGCTAGGGCCAAAGATTTGATTTTTGTATTAGTTTTCTGTACATAATTAAAAAAAATTTCTGTACATTAAAATTTTTTTCTGTGCCTTTTTTTATAGAGAGCCCTAGAACACTTTATTTTATTTCATTTTCTAAAAATGTATTTTAGTGATTTTTTGGAGAGAGGAAGGGAGAGGTATAGCTAGAAACATCGATTGGCCACCTCCTGCACACATCCTACTGGGGATCAAGCCCAAAACCCAGGTATGTGCACTGATGAGGAATCAAAGCGTGACCTCCTGGATCACGGGCCACCACTCAACCACTAAGCACACTGGCCGGCCTAGAAAACTTTATTATTTAATTTTTGTTTTGTTAATCCTCACCTGAGGATATTTTTTCCCATTGATTTTTCTTTTTTACAGAGAGTGAAAGGGATGGGGGAAAGACAGAGAAGAGAAACATAGATATGAGAAAGCATCGATTGGTTGCCTCCTGCATGTGCCCTGACTGGGGTCGGGGCTGGAGCCTGCAACAGAGGTATATTTGGCTCTGACCACTGAGAAAAACCAGCCAGGGTGAAAACATTTTTTTTAACAAAGGCCCCAGTGATTTTAGGTTTTCATTAAAAGTGTGGTTTGGGGAAGCACTTTTGACCTTCATCGTGACATGACATATACAATAACATTAAATTACATATCATGTAATTGAACAAAAAATAATTTCTTTATATAACCTATTTTTTTAAAAAAAATATTTTTTATTGATTTCAGAGAGGAAGAGAGTGGGCGAGAGACAGAAACATCAATGATGAGAGAGAATCATTTATCAGCTGCCTCCTGCACGCCGCCTACTGGGGTTGAGCCTGTAACCCGAGCATGTGCCCTGACTGAGAATCGAACCGTGACCTCCTGGTTCATAGGTCAATGCTCAACTGCTGAGCCATGCCAGCCAGGCTATAAACTATTAATAGATACCTAAATACAATATTGTTTTAAAAATGAAATCATGTGTATATAGTTGTGTTAATAAAGATAAGTACACTAATCAAAAGTTATACAACAATTACAGCAAGTCCAAATGATAACAAAGATATTTTTTTGAATTCCATATTTCACTGAGCATCAGAAACCACCAATCTTTTAGTCCTTTTCTTGCACATTATTCTGTATCTACATTCTCTGTATCTGATTGTATCCCTGGATTTAATTTCATTTCCTGTATGACATTCTCCGCAGATATATATCATTGGCTGCTGCTTTGGGGGTTGGATGTCCTTCTGAGTGTCCATTGTTAGTCCACAGCAACGACAAACTCTTCACTCTGTGATTCCCTTTTCTGTACATTTTCAAAAAATTTTGATAATGGCATCTACCATTATCAATTTTCTTTTCTCTTGTTTCTATCAAATCCAGTATTTTCAAGCTTATGGTCCCTGTCTTTATGAAGAAAATAGCAGGGGTCCCTGATATAGATTAGGGGAATTTATTCTCATACCAGTGGTGGATGTGTCCCCATTGATCATGTCTTTGCCAACACTAGTATATGTCTGACTCTAATATTTACCAGTTTGACTGTGTGAACTGGTATTTCACTATGATTTTAATTTGCACTTCCCTGATTACTGGTGCTATTGACCATCCTTAGCTATGCCAGTTCACATACTTTATAAAATTTTCTTAGGATAATTTTTCTTTTCCTTATTTGTGTAGTTCTTTATATATTCAGTATAACAACCATTTGTCTGTTATATGCATTGCAAATATCTTCCTCCATTCTCTGGACTATTTGTTAATTTTGTTTATGGTATCTCAAATAAATAAGTTAAAAAATTATGTGGTAGAATGCATCAAGTTATTCCTTTAGAGCTGTGCCTTTTGCTTTATATTATGGTTTGTCTTATTTACTCCTTCCCTTCCTCCCTCCCTTTCTTTCTTTCCTTCTCCTTGGCTTCTTCTCCCTCCTTTTCCAAGAGACTTCTTCCTTTCTTTCAAGAAATCCTTCCTGACCAGCAATTTGACCAGCTCAAGTAATTAGTATAAAAGTTTTTTTAGTGTAATAATGATATTAAGGTCTTTTTTGGGTAGAGTCCCTTTTCTTTTAGAGATACAGTTTCAAATATTTACAGATGAAATAGTGTAATGCGTGAAATTTTCCTCAAAATAATATGGGGAGGGAGTTGCTGGTGCAAGATTGGCCATGAGTTGGTAACTGTCAAAGCTGAGCAATAGGTACAATGGGGGTTCATTATACTATTCTATCTAATTCTGTATATGTTAAAATTTTCCCATAATAAAAAGCATAAAATATATAGAGAGGAAATTCTTTCCAATCTTGATATAAACATATTTTCCTATATAAAGTTGTTTTTTTTTTTTTTTTCTCATTTAGGTCTCTAATCCCTGGGTGTCTCTGAAGGAACACCATAGGAGAAGACCAGAGAACAAGACTTTACTTCAAGAAAAAATGCTTGTGTAGTTGGCGGGGGCCTACCGGTTTAACAGCGTTTGTCCTAGGAAAGCCCTTTCCAAACCAACACGGACATTTGTCTTGGCTGTGTGGAAACAGACTTTTTTGATCCAAATTTAAAGAATGAAGCTGATTATTGTCTATGAATAGGAATAACCAAAGGAAATATTTGACATTTATTAAATGATTTTTAAACCCGTGGTTGCTTTTTGACCATGGGCCAAAAATTTTTTGTAATGTGATAACTGCATTATTTCTCTAGTAAAATAATTTTGCTAAAGCCTTCATCTCAAAAAGTTAGATCATTATATTCTGCTCTTGGAATTCCTCCTTTCAACATAACATGCACATTTAGAGAGGAAGACATTTGAGGTGGGTGGGGGGCAGGGAGTGGCAGATGTTTTTAGATCTACTAGGAAAGAGTTAAGCTAAGAGTCTTTGATCTGCTGGGATTTCCAACACATGTGAATTCTCACCATACTTTCTCTAATTTTACCAGATGTAGCCAAATTGTTCATAGTGAATCCACCAAATAACAACTTGCTTTAGTTATAGATCTCTTGCTTTCTATTATACAGGATGGATTTTCAGATGCTCTTTTGATTTGTATTTTGCTCATTTTCCTCCAAGAAATTGTCAAGAAATGGTCTGGACTGGTGGACCCTTTATCTTTATGTGTCCCAAGAGTTGGCATTGTTAGGCCACCCAGTGAGTTAAACAAATACAGTACTTTGCAGACTCTGCCATAGTTAGTCTAGACTTTAGAGAGGGAGAGAGAAAAAAAAATCTGAGTTGAAATGGAGGAAGAGTATTAGGAAGAAGAATGTGGTTTGAAAAAAATTTTTTTTCTTGTTCAGAATCAAAGAGAGTCTGTCTAGTCTTACTGAGATCCAGGAGATCTCAGGATGAAGTGAAATACCATTGTAATTCAAGCCAGCATGCATCTCTTGGCTTTCTTTCTCGCGAGTTTCACAGCCATAGTATTTTATTGAGTATCCACAATATGTCTGGTACTCTATTTGCCCAACTCTTTCTACATAAAGGCTCAACTAACCCATTATTAACCCTAAGGGGAAACTAAGCAGACAATTCAGCAATAGTTCTTAAAGCAGATATACACTGTTCTAAGAAGTACATTCTGGTTGTCTTTGCTTTTCTGTCTTTATGGTGAAGAATAGCTACCTGTGAGGGACTCAGAGAAGAGATATTCTCACCATTACTAATCCTCAGCTTTTAGTAACCACAAAAAATAAGAACCATTATAAAATGAGAAAGAGAACACCAAGTACTTAACTATCTCTGCAGCTTCCATTTTGCTCTGAGAAAAAAAAATACATCATTGATGAGTTTGTCACTTCTGCTACCCAATGGTACATTCCTCATCATGTGGTCCATAACCTGGCATCAGCAACCATGAACTTTGAAAGTGTAAGCTCTTTTGCTACCATAATGTTACAGATTGAATCATTCTGAGTCATATTGCTTTTTGAACTCTTCAAATAGAAATTTCCAAGCTTGGGTTAAACAGAAAAATAACAGAGATGAGATAGTTGAATGAAGTTTGACAAAGTCTGAAACAATGAGAAAATGACTATAAGGCATCATTCCATTATTTATTTACACTGTAATTCCTCCAAAAAAGAGTTTAAAGTTGCTTAAAAGACACAGGATTGAGATATTGCACTTCATTATCCATATATTATATTTCAAATTTTTAAGGGGCATAGGGATGATGAAACAATAAGGTTTAGTTTTAAGTTTCTTGTTGGTCAAGGCAAAAGGGAAAGTCCTTGTGTTAAATAGCTCTAATTAGCTAATTAAAAAAAGCACAAAGTTGGTAAGGAGAAACTGTTTTCTCCTGAAACTAAATCCCAAGAGAAATTCATTAAAATGAAAAAATTAAAAATTGGGTACTATATACCAGGAGTTTTTGCATGTTTTTATTCTCATTTAACCCTTACAAAAATACCGTGATGAATATTGTGTCATCTTCATCTTACAGATGACGAAACTGAAGATTACAGTAGTTATGTTGGCTAGACCCAGCCAGTTTTGAACCCTGGTATCTCTGCATTAAAAGCCTACAGTCTTGCCGAACTGGTTTGGCTCAGTGGATAGAGCGTCGGCCTGCAGACTGAGGGGTCCCGGGTTCGATTCCGGTCAAGGGCATGTACCATGGTTGCGGGCACATCCCCGTTGGGGGGTGTGCAGGAGGCAGCTGATCGATCTCTCTCATTGATGTTTCTAACTCTCTATCCCTCTCCCTTCTTTTCTGTAAAAAATCAATAAAAATATATTAAAAAAAAAAAAAAGCCTACAGTCTTAGCTGAGTTGGCTCAGAGGATAGAGTGTCAGCCCACAGACTGAAGGGTCCTGGGTTTGATTCCGGTCAAGGGCATGTACCTTGGTTGCAGGCTCCATTCCCAGCCCTGGCTGTGGGAAGCAACCAATTGATGTGTCTCTCTTACATCGATGTTTCTCTCCGTCTCTACTCCTCCCTTCCACTCTCTCTAAAAATCAATGGAAAAATATCCTTGGGTGAGGATTAACAACAACAATAAAAAAAGCCTGCACTATGCTGGTCACACCACACTGCCACTCAGTGGACACTCATTATATTGTTTGTGTAGTTTTGGACGGTGGGTTCATTTTCAATGGGGCTTTATCTGCAATATTATACAGCATGGACTGAGGCATAGTCCATCCAGAATAGTATTGCATTTGTTTCTGTTAGGCACAGCAGATATGACTAGTTTTGAGTTTGTTTCTGTTATGTACAGCAGGTATGACTAGCCCCAAGGGCTTCTTTTCCTAGAATCTTGAGGGAGAAGCTTATATTATTATTACTAGAGGCCCGATGCACAAAATTTGTGCACGGGGGATGGTGTCCCTCAGCCCAGCCTGCACCCTCTCCAATCTGGGACCCCTCGAGGTATGTCTGACTGCATGTTTAGGCCTGATCCCACAGGGCCTAAACGCCTAAACAGGCAGTCGGACATCCCTCTCACAATCCAGAACTGCTGGCTTCCAACCACTCGCCTGCCTGCCTACTTGTATGCCCCTAACCGCTTCTGCCTGCCAGCCTGATCACCCCCTAACCGCTCCCCTGCCAGCCTGATCGATGCCTAACTGTTCCCCTGCTGGCCCAATCGCCCCCAACTGCTCTTCCCTGCAGGCCTGGTCACCCCCAACGGCCCTACCCTGCAGGCCTTGTTGCCCCACAACTGCCCTCTCCTGCAGGCCTGGCCCCCCCGCCAACTGCCCTCCCCTGCAGGCCTGGTCTCCCACAACTCCCTTCCCCTGCAGGCCTGGCCCCCCCGCCAACTGCCCTCCCCTGCAGGCCTGGACTCCCACAACTGCCCTCCCCTGTAGGCCTGGTGCCCTCCAACTGCCCTCCCCTGCTGGCCATCTTGTGACCACATGTGGGGCATGACAGTCAATTTGCATATTACCTCTTTATTATATAGGAGATATAGTTATCTTAACTATTCCTCATAAGATAATGTATATTTGTTTATTTTTTTATTTACTCATTTCAGTGGACATCTTGGTGTTCAGTATAGTTATGATTACTTGGAATATTTTACTGGTAGTTTAATGCTCCAAATAATCAGCACAAGAAATATAAAGATGTTAGTGCCAAACAATGATTGTCTAAATGTACTCTGGGTCAAAATATGGAGGCTAAAATAAACATCTTAAGTCTAACGTCATAAAACTCAGGGCTCTCTACTAACAATCAAGGTTGTTAATCCGGTCGCCCCCGCCAACTGTCCTCCCCTGCAGGCCTGGACTCCTACAACTGTCCTCCCCTGCAGGCCTGGTCCCCCCTGCCAACTGCCCTCCACTGCAGGCCCGGTCACCCCTAACTGCCCTCCAATGCCGGCCTGGTCACTCCCAAGTGCCCTCCCCTGATGGCCATCTTGTGGTGGCCATCTTGTGGCAGCCATCTTTGACCATGTGGGGGCGGCCATCTTGTGTGTTGGAGTGATGGTCAATTTGCATACTGGTCATGACTAATTAGCATATCTGGGCTAATTAGCATATCCCTCTCTTATTATATAGGATTATTATTACTAGAAGCCCGATGCACGAAATTCATGCAAGGGGCTCGGCTCTTGCAGCTGTGGCTTGCCTTGGCCCTCGCAGCTGTGACTTTATTCGGTAGGTCGCACACTTTTATTATTATAGATTATTATTATTATTATTTTATTTATCCTCATCCAAAGATATTTTTCCATTGATTTTTAGAGAGAGTGGAAGGGCAGGGGAGAGATAGAAACATTGATGTGAGAGAGACACATCAATTGGTTGCCTCCCACACAATCCCCGACCAGAGCTGGAGATTGAGCCTGCTGCCTGCAACCAAAGTACATGCCCCTGACCAAAATGGAACCTGGGACCCTTCAGTCTGAAGGGCAACACTCTATCCACTGAGTCAAACTGGCTAGGGCTAGAAGCTTATACTATTGATTTGAGAATTTTCCTCTTTTTTAATGGATGCACTTATTACTATAATTTTCCCTCTAAAGTTCTGCTTTAGCTGTGTTCCACAAATTTTGTTATGCTGTTTTTTTTAACTGCCCTCCCCTGCAGGCCTGGTCTCCCACAACTGCCCTTCCCTGCAGGCCTGGTCACCCCAACGGCCCTAACCTGCAGGCCTGGTTGCCCCACAACTGCCCTCTCCTGCAGGCCTGGTCACCCCCGCCAACTGCCCTCCCCTGCAGGCCTGGTCTCCCACAACTGCCTTCCCCTGCAGGCCTGGTCCCCCCTGCCAACTGTCCTCCCCTGCAGGCCTGGACTCCCACAACTGTCCTCCCCTGCAGGCCTGGTCTCCCACAACTGCCTTCCCCTGCAGGCCTGGTCCCCCCTGCCAACTGTCCTCCCCTGCAGGCCTGGACTCCCACAACTGCCCTCCCCTGCAGGCCTGGTCTCCCACAACTGCCCTCCCCTGCCAGCCATCTTGTGACTGTGGGCACTGCATCTTTGAGTGTGGGGACGTCAATTAGCATATTCCCTCCTTATTGGCTGTGGGTTCCACCATCTTTGCGATGGTGTGAGGGTCAATTAGCATATTCCCTCTTTATTAGATAGGATTGTTTTCTGGTCTACCCCCTTCCTTTTTTCTAAATTTGCATACTGGTCATGACTAATTAGCATATCTGGGCTAATTAGCATATCCCTCTCTTATTATATAGGATTATTATTACTAGAAGCCCGATGCACGAAATTCATGCAAGGGGCTCGGCTCTTGCAGCTGTGGCTTGCCTTGGCCCTCGCAGC